GGCATTCAGGAGCTTCCCGCAGGTCTTGCACTTAAAGCAGCTCAGGTGCCAGTGCTTGTCCAGAGCCACCAGGGCCTGGCCGTTCTTTATTTCTGTGCCGCAGCCCCCACAGCCTGGAGGAGAACAGAGCAGACACCCTCAGCACGCGTGCGGTAGGGGGGGCCTGTGGCTCCGAGGGTAAAAGGTCCTTGTCTCTGCTCTCCAGCCCCTATAAAGCACTGGAGTGACTGGGAGGGTGCGGACAGAGCGTGTGCGGGAAGGACGAGAAGGCGGGGGGACAACAACCAGTAAGGTCTGTCTCTGCACGCACTGGTTGGCGATCGTACAGTCTGGGTGAGTAGCTGGGAGACAGACGAGGAGGCAGAGACCCTGCCTGCCGGAGTTGGGGTCGGACCCTGGCAGACACATGTGCATGGGACTAGGGTGCACCAGGGTGGGGGGGCCCTGGACGGGAAGGGCCTGGGTGACTGGTGCTCTGACAGCAGATCTGGGTGGTCCACCTGTCCTCTGCAGGAAGACACAATGTTGAACCTAACCATTCCCTCAAATCCCCATTAATGGGAAATGTACCCCCTGGGGAGGCCTGAGCCCAGGGCACCCACCCACACTGTCCCGGCCACTCCTTCCTCCAAGTGCTTGCTGGCCTGCCTCTTCCCTCCGGAAGCCCTCCTGGCACACACATCTGAGCTCAGTCTGTGGCCATCTGACTTCATCTCTGCACACAGATGCGTCAGCCCTCTGCCTGCGTTCCTGCTCCAGGCCCCAGGCAGTCGGACCTTCCCCAGTGACGGTGCTCTCTGTCTGTGGCCACTGGCTGCTGGAGCCCCTTCCAGCCTCCCTGTGCCTTCTCTGTTCTTCCACCATCCTGCCCCTGCTTAAGTACCTGCTAGGCTCCCAGGGCCTCTTGGCCCTGGCCCTGCCCTGCCCAGCTAGCTCCCTCCAGCCTTCAGGTGGCCACACCAGGGGCTCCCCCAGCCAGGGTCAGGGGGTTAAGAATAAGATGGCCACTTTGCAAAGGGGTGGAGCTAGCCAGAGGGGCAACTTGAGCTGCCCGGGTATGTGCATGAGGGTGGACATGTGAGTAGATATGCTTACATGTGTCTTACATGCATGTGCATGTCACAGGTCTGTGAGCTGATGTGACTGTGTCTGTGCAGGCGTCTGCATATGTAGCTACGTCTGAACGTGTCTGTGTGAGCGCACGTCTACATGCGAATGTGTGGGTGGTGCTATGTGTTGGGGTATGACAACGCGGGGTCTTGGGGATCCTCGTGCGGGGCAGAGACAAGCAGAGGCATCTAGGAAACAGGCTTCACTGCTTGCAGGACCTCAGAGTGGACGAACAGCTTCTGGGCTCAGCTGAAGGCTCCAGGACCAGCAGGGATTCTCTCGGCCCAAGAAAACCTCTCTCCATGGTGGAAAGCACATGGCCACAGGGCCTGCACGCCCCAGCCCACTCGGAGTCGTTCTGAGCCGGTCTCTCCCTCTCGGAGCTCTGTTCCTCAGCGGCGGGGTGGGAGTGGTCACCTAATGCCACCT